ACCTTATGGGTATTATTCTCTTATACAAAGACTTGCTTAGCCTATATATATATGTGTGCGAATGGTTTCGAACGGGAAACAAAGAGAACCAGAATACTAAAGAAATACAGAACAACCAAACCAGAGTACACAGAACCACAATGGCGAATTTCCCACTCTCAAAACTCCTCAGAGTAGTACTTGTCCTTTCTCTCTATCTTCTTGTTCATGTCATTTCGTCTTCAGCGACGACCGGCGGCAGTACAGTGTCGCCCTCTACGATAATTAGCGACGATGTTGTTCCGGTTGCTGACCGTTCGAGTTTCCCGGCGGGCTTCCTCTTTGGTTCGGCGTCATCTTCTTACCAGGTAAGTGATGACCGATGAAGTGATGATTATCTCAATGGTGTATATTTATTAAATTTTTTTTAGCAACCATCGAGGAGTCCGTCGCTAATGTTGAGAAAGGTGGTGACGAATGTTTATTTTCGCTGACTGGGGTAATGTTTTTATTTGTTTGGGTTCAGGTGGAAGGCGCGGTAGCTGAAGATGGAAAAGGACCTAGCAATTGGGATGTCTACACCAACAAATACAGAGGGGAGCAAGACGATTCATCATCGAAGCATATTCGTCTTCGTGGTGCAGATATTCGTCGACCATCTCGCTTTCTCATGAGCTCTGATGATCAGGATTCTTATTCGAAGCCCAAAGGTAACCCAAATTTAAGTGGCCTATAATCATATCTGAATTTTTTTGTGACGGTGGTTGATGTAGAGATAAGAAAACCAAAGAATAACACGAGCATTTTGATGGTTTGACAGAGAGGATAGCCGATGGTAGCAACGGGAATGTGGCCATCGATGGATATCATCGTTACAAGGTAATTAATAGCGACAGCCCTATGGTACTATCGTTTTCATTTCTGCCGTTTAAGTTTTTGAATGATTCTAAGTTAAACCTATGCACGTAAATGACCTTGCATTTGTGATTTTGTGTACAGGAAGACGTTGCGATCATGAAGAGCATAGGGTTGCAGGCTTATCGATTTTCTCTCTCTTGGGCTCGGATTTTACCAAGTATGATATTTATCATAGCTCTGCTATCTCTCTATCTCATTTTTCACTTCTTAAGTGATCATTAATTACGAAAATTACTTAGCTAACGGGCGATTATATAATCATCATCAGATGGAACGGTCGAAGGAGGTGTGAATAAGGAAGGGATAGAGTACTACAACAATCTCATCAACGAACTCCTAGCCAATGGTAATTAATTGAACCACATAAATACATTCAATTCATTTTGTTAATTATGTTCGTTCACTTTGATCAATCTCCTTATCTAATAATTCCTCAAAATGGTGATCTCCATCCTGCAGGCATCAAACCTTTTGTAACCATTTTTCATTTCGACCTTCCTGACGCCCTGGAAAGAGAATATGCCGGCTTCCTTAGCCCTAAAGTTGTGTAAGTACCCTATACCATGCACTCTCATTATTCACGTATTAAAAATTTTATGTTACAATCCATCCTTTTCTTCACCTAGCTAACGAAAAGACACATACTATGAACAGGAAAGACTTCGTTGCATACGCGGATGTTTGTTTCAAGCACTTCGGGGATCGAGTTCAACACTGGGTCACGATCAACGAGCCTCTTTCGTACAGTTTGTTCGGCTATGCCCAGGGGACGATGGCTCCAGGCCGATGCTCGAAATGGATGAACCTGAACTGCCCTGGGGGAGACGCCGCCACCGAGCCCTACGTAGTTGGACACCACCTCCTCCTTTCTCATGCCGCCGCAGTGAAACTGTACAGAGAGAAGTACCATACGACACAAAAGGGCGAGATCGGCACCGCCCAGGTGGTGCAGTGGGGACATCCTCTCTCCGATTCGAAGCAAGATCTCGAGGCTACGCAACGAAGAATCGATTTCACGCTCGGATGGTTTCAGGACCCGTTGGCCACCGGAGACTATCCACCGTCGATGAGAGCTATCGTGGGGGAAAGATTGCCCAAATTCTCGAAGGAGGAATCCGAGATGTTGAGAGGTTCCTTCGATTTTGTGGGGTTGAACTACTACACATCTTACTACATTTCGGATGCGCCTCCTCCTTCGAATTCTACGCCTAAGAGTGCAACGACGGATTCTCAAACCAGTTTTTCACGTAAGCAAATTTACTCCAACTATACACACTACTAGTAAATGTAACTTATCTTTTGTACTGTCACTAATAATTAGTAGCAACGAATTTGTTTCATGTCGCTAATGAAGCCGAGAAGAATGGTGTCGACATTGGCCCGAAGGCAGGGATATCATGGCAGTATATTTACCCTAAAGGGATTCGAGATGCTGTACTCTACACAACAAAGAAGTATAATAACACGGCCGTTTACATTACTGAAAATGGTGAGTAACTTGAGTATATATGTGTGTTAGATATATATGTAGCCAGCTTTTGACATCTCAATGAATTACATGTTTGTAATGTGCTTGTAAGGCTAACCGATTTATCCTTATATTTGATTTACAGGCATGGGGGAGCTCAATAATGAAACATTAAGCATCAAGGAAGCTCTTAACGATACTCTAAGAGTGGAATTTTACAGCCAACATATCGCCTACCTCAACAATGCAATCAAGTACGATATACCATGATATTATTTAACACATTCCTTCTAATGATATGTACTTATTAAGTTTTCAATATCGTGACATTTCTAATATAATTAAAATTGAGGATGCCATACTCTTAATTTTTTTTTTTAATAATGTACTCCTAGAATTTATTTAGTCATAAAAAAAAACATTAGCTTACACAATTTATCTTGTCATGGTTACAGGAGAGGTGCAAATGTGAAAGGGTATTTTGCTTGGTCACTGATGGACAACTTTGAATGGTCGGAGGGCTACACAATCCGATTTGGCATTAACTATGTGGACTTCAAAAATGGATTGAGACGATACCCTAAACGATCTGCCATTTGGTTTCGAAACTTCCTCAAGAACTATCAATGATCTATTCGACTTTGGTAGATGATTTTTATTTATTGTTTGAAATTCTTTGTTCTTTGGGAAAATGGCATACCATATGAAATATGAGTATGTTTCTTTTTTGTATTTTTCCAAGGAAATGTCAAAGTATAGATACAACCTCAACCCTGTAACCCCCAACAAATACAATGGTTAGCCCAAATTATACAGCATTTTTTGGATCATTAGAGTTGTTTCCTTTTCCCCACATTGTAATTCCTTGTTGAAGGACGGCTAAGATTAAATTAACATTTTCATTTTTTATGGGAGAATTGAAATAAAGATACAATTTTAATATGTTTTATTGATTGATTAACGGTCGCATATCCATATTTCTGTTCCTTCCAATCAGATCCAAAATTTATTATTATATATGCAATAAGATAGATAATTGGGCTGGGTCTAGTCATAGTGGATTGAACCTTCGGCCACGTGTCACATCTAATGCGCTGTATTCTGAGGGTTGTTTTATTTATTATATGTAAGAGAAATTACTACTTATTCAAAAGAAAAAATTACTACAATACATTAATATATTACGAATTGGTTTTTTTAGTAATATATACACATAAATGGTTTTCTTAATGTAACAGAAACAATATTTAATTTTTGAATGAGGGTACATTCACCCTCTCAAGGTGAGATTGTTTTAGTTGGTATTATTTCCTTTTTTTTTTCTTCTAATTTTATCCATTGTTGTTTGCTTTTGTGTTGAAAGAAAATGGTAAAAGGTGACATTTCCAAGTGACATCATTACAAGGGGAGGGCAGCAATTTAGTCTACACTAGATCGAATAGTATCGAATTTATAATTGAATTAAATGAAATTGAATATTTTTTATTCGATTTCGATCTCATAAATAAGTGTAAGTATGAAAAAAGTGAATTGAATTTGGATTTGAGCCTCGACGCCCTGCAAACACGCCCGCGTCCTTCCTGTCCGGCGCCTGCCTACACACACTAGCACAGGGGGGTGCCTCGGCCCGTTAGCCATCCGACGATCAAGTCAGTAACCTAGAGAGAGAAGTGCTTTAGAGCTAGAATTTTAGTGAGAGAGTCCAACCTGTGTAAATGCTACCAACTGCCCCTATTTATACTCACCGAGTTCGAGATGGATCTCCTCCACGTCACCATCACATTAAATGCTCTGTACTTGTAACCCTGTCAGAAGCCTCAACCACCTTGCCAGACTTCTGACGGCTGGCAGGCGCCCACAGGCGGGGGACCACATGCCAGCCTAGGTTTCTTTGGTCTTTGGTGCTTTTGTCTCCATGCTTGGGCTGCCTGGTGGGCTTTGTGGGCTTCTTCTCCTGGCCCATCGTCTTGGGCTATTTTTCACTAAATGGGCTCTCTCTTGGGACCCTTTAGTAATACCCCAACAGATTTCGATCTCATAAATAAGTGTAAGTAATAAAAAAAAAGTGAATTGAATTTGGATTTGAACCGAATAAACCAAACATATTTTTTATCATATTATAATCTACAATTTACCTTTGATTTGATCCAATCTTAACTCAATTATTTTGAATCAAATCGATGGATGTCCACCCTTTACAATACATCAGCTTTAACATTCAAAGGAAACAAACGACCCGGTCCCTTGGATCGTTATTAACTTAGGTTTCTATTTTGTTTATTTACAGTGACAATGAACCATGTAGATTGTAGCCTTTTGTTTTCTTTAATCTCGGCATCTCCTTTCCCCGCTATTGTTTACAGTGACAATGCAGTATATACCTCCGTTGCCAAATGTGCTGTTGGCCTCATTAGTCCACCCGGTCATATATAATTGGCAGCTGTCTTAGCCGGAAAAGGCCGACAAGGAGATTTGATTAATTAGACCGTAATTTGCCTTGTATTGATTTGTTATGTGACTCTTTAAAAGTAGAAAGACCCACTTAGTATGGTACGTTTGTAAATATTCTTTTGTACAAACCTAAACATGCATTTTTCGTACTAATTTCTTTACGGTGCAAACTCGACTCGTACTTTTAAAATTATGGTACAAGTTCAACTTGTACCTATATATTTTCATACAAATTCATTTTTCGAACAAACGTCTTTTTCTTCAATTGTTCCAACACCATTGCATTCGTCCAGAAGAACCCCTACAACAGCATGTTAATTACTTAATAATCCCCGGGGCTTCTTTGGACTCATGTTAAACGGCGGCACTTAGCTAGACACATCCAACATCCGTACATATAAAACGGCGTAGTTGGAGTATTATATCTTTCGCCGCCGGCCACATGGACCAAATCACCTCTATATAGTAACGGGGAAAAAAAAGATAGTTACATAGAGAGCCAAAATGACGATTTCATTTCAAAGCTCTAATCTTCGGCATATGGGTCTCCCGCGGTCAAACTCCACGCTTCTACTTCTTATCCTCCTTTCTTTCTATCTTCTTTGTCATGCAACAGGTGCTAGCTCAAGTTTAACGCCGTCTACAATTAGTGACGAGCACAATAGCGACGACCACGATGATCGTGTTCCCGTCGCTGCTAACCGCACGAGTTTCCCGGCGGGCTTCCTCTTCGGGACGGCGTCCTCGGCTTACCAGGTACGTGATCAACTGATCATATGTTGTTTAAAAAATGGTATTTATTTACAAGAAATCTTTAGCGACGAATTAGGAAATTCGGTCGCTAAAAACGTTGAAAAGGCGACGGATCTTGATTTTTCGTGACCGGGGGTAATTGTTAATTTCGTGGTGGTTGGTTCAGTATGAAGGCGCGGCGGGTGAAGGTGGGAAAGGAGCTAGCATCTGGGATACTTACACTTCCAGATACCCAGGTTCGAAGTTCTAAAATCTAAATCCTATCCCAAAAAATTGTGCGGCTCGTGTTCACTGATAAAATCCTATCTTAATGGATAACGATCACTTGGTGGTCAACTCTTGCATTATCAGTTTAGCACTATAAATTAGTGGGGGGGAAAAGAGTGGTAGGTGGCGATTTAAGTATTGCAACTTGTTGTATTTTATTTGGGCTGATTGAGTTACCAATTGGGCCTGCCATTTCTGGGCCCTATGCTAACAATGGGTTTGCTATTACTTCCAGGGGTGGCTATACGGTCCGATCCGGTTAAATTAGACCAAATTGATCCGGTTCCAGTCCGGTCTTTTCGGGAATATAAGGACCAAAGATTGGATTGGATACAGTCCGATCTTGATACGGTCCGGTCTTGACCCGGTCCGGTCCCAATTTTATCTTGATTTTAGCTGTTGGGGGTCTCTTATCCGGTCTTTATGCAGTTTTTTTACCTCAAATCTAAGCCCGAATATGAGATTGCATTGTTTGCTATCCGGTCCCAGTCCGGTCCCGGTCCGGATTATACGGTCCGGTTTCGGGTAAAACCAAACAGTCCGGGACCAAATAGTCAGCCCTAATTACTTCGATTATGGGTTGTTTTGCCATCCCAAGTAGCTTAATATAAAACAAAGCATAGAACTGCCGTTTTGATGGCAAGGTGAAATGGCAGGTAAGATAGCCGATCGGAGCAACGGGGATGTGGCCATTGATGAGTATCATCGCTACAAGGTAATTATAATGCCAAGATGATTTAATATATATGGTTGAATGACTTTGTGAATGGTTAAACAATTATATAAAATAGTTTTTTGAAATCTTTTTTCTTAATCATTATGTTTATGATATTTGCAGGAAGACGTTGCAATCATGAAGAATATGGGGTTAAATGCTTATAGATTTTCTATCTCATGGCCTCGAATTTTACCGAGTACGATATTTAACTGACCATCTATGGCAATACTCACTTCTTTCTTACTACGCATATTAACTAATTATCACTAGATTCCATTTTTCACTATTTATCATGCTATGGTTATTCATTACAATTACAAAATTCAATAAGATAACGTACTTATATATTATTATTATTATTATTATTATCATCAGATGGGACGGTGAATGGAGGCGTGAACAAAGAAGGGATCACGTATTATAACAACCTCATAAATGAACTCTTAGCTAATGGTAAATACGTTTTGTATGGTTGTCACTAGACTAACTCCTTCATATGAATATATGATAGATTGTTAGCTAGCTTTTGTTAATGATCATGATTATGTCATCGGTGGTACATGGAAACTGATATTAGTTAAGGCTGTTAATTAATTAATTGTTAATATAGTCTACTTGTGGCTTAATGAATTATATATATATTCCACAAATGGTGATCTACAGGCATTAAACCTTTTGTAACCCTCTATCATTGGGACACTCCTCAAATCCTAGAAAATGAATATGGGGGCTTCCTTAGCTCTAAAATTGTGTAAGTACGCTTTCACTCTTTGTCATTAATTAATATTTTAACTATTTTCTTCTGTTTTGATTATACTTGAAATTATTTGTGAATTATGGGTAGTTTGTTTGTAGTGAAACGACGACATTATTGAGATTAAAGAGTCAAATCGATCTTTTTGTCTTTCTAACAAGAAAATATTATGAACATATATCTCCCAGGAAAGACTTTGTCGGGTATGCGGATGTTTGTTTCAAGTACTTCGGTGATCGAGTTCAACATTGGGTTACATTGAACGAGCCTCTGGCATCCAGTTTATATGCCTATGGCGTTGGTATGTTGGCACCTGGTCGATGTTCAAAATGGATGAATTTGAACTGCACTGGGGGAGACTCAGGCACTGAGCCATACGTTGTCGGACACAACCTTCTTCTTGCTCATGCCACCACCGTAAAACTGTACAGAGAGAAATATCAAGTAAACAATCTATATATATATACTTCATGCATCCGTCTAAAAATTTGATTACAAGGTCATCATTATATTGAAAGAGCACCATAATGTTATTTTCATCGTTTCAATTTGTTTCGTATCTCGGGGGTGATATGTTCGAATTTGAAAGTTAATTGATGTCACTTATTTCGCATGCAGCAAACACAAAAGGGTAAGATTGGCATTGCCCAAGTTTCGCAATGGGGTATTCCTCTCTCTGATTCTAAGCAGGATCACAAAGCTACACAACGACAAATGGATTTCACGCTTGGATGGTACGTGTTTTCTTTAATGTGTATGATTCGATTTTAAGGATGATAGTTTATCTAGTATCTCAAACCTGGATCATTAAGGTCAATCATATTACAGTTCACGGGATTTAAATATCTGACATGCTATTTGCCATCTATAGTTTTATTATTTGATCGTCTGGACCCGATTTTTCGCAGGTTTATGGACCCACTAGCCACAGGAAACTATCCACGATCGATGAGATCTATTGTGGGGAAACGATTGCCCAAATTCTCCGAGGAGGAATCCAAGATGTTGAAAGGATCCTTCGATTTTGTGGGGTTGAACTACTATACAACTGCGTACATTTCCAATGCACCACCTTCTAATCCTATCTTCTTAAGCTCGACGACTGATTCTCAAACCAATGCTTCAGGTAACCCATTTGCTGAAAATTAACCCTCTACTCACTATTAAACGTAACTCCTACCCTATATAAGTTTTTGTATCACTAATTATGTGTTTCATGTTGCTAATGAAGCCGTGAAGAATGGTGTCCCCATTGGCCCAAAGGTATGCATTCTAATCAATAATTAACTTGTTCAAGAAATCAATGGAAATTAGCTAGAGTGGTCACAATATCTCGACGACGTCGATCGTACTTAGGTTGGAACAATTTGTTAATGAAGTTGCACAATAGATCCTATATATGTTATCAAACATTTAATCACAAGACGAGCAAGTAAATGATGTAATATATGTTATTGAATATAAGAGCATAGGATAACTCAGGTTATATAAGAATTTTGACAATACCCAACACTAGTGTGTAATTTTTTTACCCTTTGCACAGGCTGGGGTGTTCTGGCAGTACATTTATCCAAAAGGGATTCGAGATGTTGTGCTCTACACAAAGAGGAAGTATAATAACCCAGTCATCTACATCACTGAAAATGGTGAGCCTACATGATATGTACCAATAAAATTAGGATTCTATGGAAATGGTTGTATGTTATGTATTATTACAATGTTAAGAATTCATTTCTCTTGTTTTTCAATATACAGGTATGGGTGACATCAATAATGAAACATTAAGCCTGAGGGAAGCTCTTAATGATACCTTAAGAGTCGATTTCTATCGTCAACATCTCGCATACCTGAGCAGTGCAATCAAGTAAGATATACCACGATATAACTCGAGGATTCCACTTAGGGTGTTATGTGCCACTTTCTTACCGAGAATAAATAAGATTTATTACAATAATTTCATTCTATAAAAATTCACATGCTTTGGTTACAGGGAAGCTGCAAAGGTGGAAGGGTATTTTGCTTGGTCACTATTGGACAACTTTGAGTGGTCGATGGGCTACACAGTACGATTTGGCATCAATTATGTGGACTACAAAAATGGATTAAAACGATATCCTAAACAATCCGCCGTTTGGTTTCAAAGCTTTCTTAAGAATTATTGATCGACCTACACAGTACGATTTGACATTAATTATGTGGACTACAAAAATGGATTAAAACGATATCCTAAACAATCTGCCGTTTGGTTTCAAAGCTTTCTTAAGAATTATTGAGTTATCTTCATGTATCTTAAACAATCTACCCTAAATAATATCAATTGCATCACTTCCTATTATTGAAAGCTCATTTGAGTTCTCTTTATGTATCCAATGGCAACCTTGATGATTCTCATTCGAGGAAAATATGTGTTGGGGGTCCTTTGGAGAATTAAAGTTTGAATCTCGTGACTTTAATGAATTCAATGGATTAAATTACATATTTGATCACTCATATTATCAAAATTTTCACATTTGTCTAGAATTTATTTTTCCATCTTTACTAGTCTCTCTCTTTAAATCTCATTTTAAAGCTCGCCCTAGCTAACAATCAACAATAAAAAATTTCGTGAAATGACCAGCATATCAATTAAAAAAATAATTTTTAATTTTCCACCCTGCCACCACCACACCCAAAATACCTCAATCACAAATATTATTACTAGATGTAAGTATCAAACGCAATCGATAATCAGTAGATGTTTGTTTCAGCTGAATTACATAGCGGGAGTAGAAGTGACAAATGGATTTGATTCATGGACTAGATTAAATGAATTGGTGGGTTGAATTTATGGATCCAAGTGACATCCAAACAATAGATCATTGTGTAAATTTTCAAAACTTTAGGTACTTAAATGTCATTATAAAAAAATCTTAGATACCAAAACATAATTTGTAAATGACATTTTTCAAGACTAGCTAGCTAGTGATGGAAAAAAGATAAAAATTAGGTATTTTTCAAACTCTATTTATTATGATCAAATCAACTTTGAATATAATTTTTGACGGATTTATACTCAATTTTTTTAGTTTGGCTCTAAATTAGACTCATGATATTAGGTACCTAAAAGAAAATGAATACTCAATTCTAATGTAGGTTTCCCATTTTTTTTGTTAAAAAAAAATAGAAATGTAAAAACACAAACGTTGAAGGTGCAAATTAGATTGAAAATATTTAATGAGATTATCGATGTTATATTTTTGTGTGTACATCATCTGACTCATATAGATCCATTTGGACATACCCAAATAAGTTGATCCAAATTATTTCCAACTCAAACTCAAACCCATAAAAAAAATACATATATATGAACCCATAATGTACTCAATCCATTACCATTCCTATATATAGCTAGCTAACAGAAATAACTTCATAACAACCTAGATTCCATATTTAGTACCCCAATATATTCTTGCAAATTGTTTCCTAGTCAATTGAATAATTCCTCCGTCACCCTCGATTCCCTCCAAGGCATCTGCCGAATGCAGATGGGCGGCCCTTTTTCCCCCCTTTTATTGTACAAGAAATTAACAGGAAAGTTCAAGGAATACTACACACTCTCTTTTCTTGTTTGAAGTGAAGAAATACGATTGTTTGTTTGGTCTTCACTTTGGGGAACAAAACCAAAGCTGGTTTTGATTAAGAGAAAAGAGGTCACTAGGATTGTGGAGGTTAAAACTAATTGTAGGTTGATAATATACATTGAATATCGAAAAGGGGAAAATGAAAAAACTTATTAATTAGCCTATAACTAATCATTTATCTATTGTGCATAAGTGTTGGCATCAAGTTGTGAACAACGGCTTGGCCTACCACTACTCTTGAATCTGGAGTCCCAGATTCAAAACCCTCTAGTAGCACCTAACTATAAAAATCAACATATATCATCTTTATAAAAAGACGATGTACGATATTGATTGTGCAAACTTCAAATTCATGAGTGCCTTTCGTTTGATCAGACATGTTAGTAAGTGATATAAGATTTATTATTGAGCTACAAAATATGATGTCTGATACTGGCTGTGAAAACTTCAAAGTCTATATGAATGACTTTCGTTAACGAGAAATGTTAGCATGTGGGTATAAGATTCATAATTAAATATCTCTCAACTATTCGATTTAAGACAAGATCGAGCTACAAATATGTTGATCATAAATTTTATTTTTATCTAAACTCTAATGGTAGAAAGAAAGCGAGGTAACCAGAAAACTAAGAGGAATCAGTAACCAAAAGATCCCTCTCTGCAGCCAAGAACCGTTGGCAGAATTTTTTTTTTTTTTTTTTTTTTTAAAAGAACCGTTGGCAGATTATTTCAATTGTTTTGACGGATATATATGGCATGATTCTTCATTCAATTTGGAAAGAGCTCTTTGTCCTCTTCAAAACCTATCGAACTGCCGACTCAAAGTCTCCCCCAATAGTCATTTAATGGGAGCTGAAACTATATATAAGCCAACGAGAATTTTATAGATAATATATATAAAGATTAATCTTGGCCTATTTGGGTTTTTACATTGTTTGACTCTCTGTTTTTATTTAATTTTTTGGCTAAAAAATTAGTGGTCGTGATACTCAGGGGAAGGGCAAAAACTTAAGCTAGTTAAGGGTGATAAAGCTCCTGGTCCGAACAATTTTTTCTTCGCTTTTTCTAAGAATTGTTGGGATGTCATCAAAGCTGATCTCATAAAGGCCTTTAAAAACCTTTTCAACACAGAGAGTTTCAAGCAGTGTCCATGAAACCGTACCGTACCGACGGTTCAACCACGAAATACCAGTATCGGAGGCTAAACCAGCAAGCGGTATTTAACGGTATAACGGTTGAACTATGATTAAACCATGGTTTTACCATAAAATACCCTAAAACTTACTTTCCCGGTACGATCTCCGGTACGGTTTCATGGACCATGGTTTCAAGTAACCTATTTTAAAATTCCAAGATCAGAGGTTCATAGAAGTCGACCCCAAAGGAACATCTACGTAACAGAACGGGTCACTAGGAGTCTAGGATTGATTCTAAATCTGCATTCCTTTGAGTTCATCACCTCCACCTCTATAAATCCATCAAAAGGAATTTTAACAATGCATAAAGTGAAAACTATGGCATCCTACTTGCAATAAATCCGTTGTTAGATATTCAAACTGATTACTAATTCCTGTCACCCTAGATACCCTCCAGGCTCCAAGGCTCAGACGGTGCTTTTTTTTTTTTTTTTGCATTTACGGACGGTTTTTATTGGAGCATCAGCCCATTTCTATAGCAAACAAATGCAAGAAATTATCAGGGAATTATAATAAATAAAATAATGCATTATTCTCTCTTCTTCGAGGAAAATACCATTGTTTGGATCGGACCTTAATATCTCCCATGACTCCGGTAACACCAATTCCTAAATGCCATTTTTTACCCTTCAATTATTATCTCCCGGAGAGTAATTCAGTTAGATATTAGACAAAAAAAAATTTTTGATGAGGAGATATTAGACAAAATTAAATACTTTTATTCCTCAACATAAGCCATGGCATAGAATTCTTTTTAATGAACCATGAAAATTAAAACTTCGGATGCTATCATAGAGGGTAATTAATCGTTTGTTTGGTATTCATTGTTTTGAAGAATCCCAAAATGGAAATCGTCAATCGTTTGCAGAATCAAAGGCCAATGGTTCGATCGTCGTCGTTGGTGATTTATTTGCAGAATTGTTTGTATAATGGATTAATTCGTAGTTAAATGAAGAAAAAAATAGAAGGAAAAAAATCCGTTTATGGTTTGTTGGCTTTTCATGTTTCTGCTTCGCGTAATGATCGCTAATACCCTTCTCGGTTCGCTACTATTCGTCCAAACACGCAACTCAAATCGTTGTTATATGTAGTCAACAATTTCACTGGTCCGATCGATAAATCCGATTAGGTTCTAATGTCAAGAGTCAAGACTATTAAGCCACACCCATCTATGAACTGTGACATCTTTATGCTCGACCGAAACATGTTTTGGTCCGTAGATAGGAAATTATAAGAGAGTTTATATGTCAGATTCAAACATTTGAAAGCTGAGGGAGGCTATAGCTCGTTGAGTTCAAACTTGACAATGACATTTCGACCGTCTCTTCGGAATATTCTCTTTTATCACGTTGAAGAGAAAGTGAGATAAGTGAACCACTAGAGGGGTAAAATAATCAACCTTACGTTACGTTGCCGCCAAAGAACCCTAGACAAGAGACTCCATGACGAAATCCTGAAACCAGAGACCGAGTTCCCCAAAAGAGATGGTCGGTAATTAATTAGTACTTAATTAATATTCACCACGTTGTCTTCGGGTGAACCCTTGATTGGTAATTTCAATTCACTTCTTTCTTTGTTTGATAGCTACAATTACTTCTATATAAATCACTATTAGGTACCATTTTCTCTGGACAAATCGGCAGGGAGGTTTCTACAATTCTATAACTCCAAAAGATTAGTCGATTCAAGTGTCATGGGCCTGTTCGTGATCAGCTGCTGCCTCCTCGTAGTTTCGTCGCTAATCGTTATCGATGGAGCTCGAGTTATGATCAATCCCTCTGATCGCGACACTAGTACGATCAATGGTACTAGTACAGCTTCTTCCTTCAACAGGAGGAGCTTCCCTGCCGGGTTCGTATTCGGCACAGCTTCGTCGGCATACCAGGTACGTTAACAACTGGTTAGGAACTTGTATTCGTGACGAAGAGATGGAAAGTCGTCACTATTTTTGAAGATCGGAGGTTTTAACGACGAAAGGTTGTCACTAAAAGGCACGAAATAACCCGTCGCTGAAACTCATTACTACAAACACCTTTGAGCCGTTATTGTTTTCGACGTCCAAGAAGATCAGCACTTGTTTAAAGAGTCTCATAGTATCCCATTTACATTTCTAGTGATATAATAAACTAGCTAGAGGTGGGATCGTCGTTAAAAGTGGTGTTCAAATTCGTCGGTGAATTTATGGCGACGGAAATGAGTTACTAGTAGTAAGAAGTTACAAGAGGAGAAAAGCTTGTCAATGAAAAAAAAAATCACCTATGAGTACAACAAGATGAGATAGTAATTTTATTTCATTATCAATGACTATTAAAAATATTTCAATCAAATTGATTGTAGAGGATTGAGGAATGAGGAGTACAAGTTTTGATTTAGATGGTCATTACTTGAATAATTTTCCCCGTTGCTAATTGTGTTATATGATGACAGTATGAAGGTGCGGCGAAGGAAGGTGGCAGAACTCCTAGCATCTGGGACAACTACGCTCATCAATTTGCAAATAAGATAACTGACCATAGCAATGGAGATGTGGCAACGGATTCTTATCACCGTTACAAGGAAGATGTCAAGATCATTAAGGATTTGGGATTTGAAGCTTACCGATTATCGATATCATGGTCTCGAATTTTACCCAGTAAGTCAATCGTATATGTCACGGGTTTTTTGCATAGGTTATGTTCACCTCAACGTTTGAACCGACGAATACACAATAAATGCGCGATAAATTTGATTATTAATTTTCGACACTAACTATGTTGATTCGTCAGATGGGAAGTTGAGCGGGGGAGTGAACAAAGAAGGAGTGAAATATTACAACAATCTCTTCGATGAACTCCTTGCAAACGGGATCCAGCCCTTCGTGACTATCTTTCACTGGGATCTCCCTCAAACACTGGAATCTGAGTACAGGGGTTTTCTTAACCCTCGTGTTGTGTAAGTAAAACCATATCCCGATCAGGTCATAATATTAAACATTATCTTGGTTCGAAGTACAAAGATATTTCAATCATCAAAAACCTCAGTAGTTAGATTAGGTCGTCACAATAACTCGAGTTAACATTCGATCTTCTGTCTATCCTCCTTATCACTTAGTAAACTTTCGCAGGGATGATTTCCGAGACTATGCGGAGGTGTTGTTCAAGGAGTTTGGCGACAGGGTGAAGAACTGGATCACTATAAACGAGCCACTGAGCTACAGCGCCGGAGGGTATGCATATGGCTATCTTGCGCCGGGGAGGTGCTCCAGTTGGGTGCCCATGAACTGTAGCGGCGGAGACTCCGCGACCGAGCCTTACATCGTCGGCCACCACATCCTCCTCTCTCATTCTGCCGCCGTCGACCTGTACAAGCAGAAATATCAGGTTTTTTTCTCTTCATCGCTCTCTTACACGTCTTTTCAAACGAAAGTTCGGGTTTTTTCTCTTTATCACTCTCTTAAATGAACTGTTAACAATAAGATCTTTGAGATTTGAACAGACGACCATTTGACCAAACCAGCCGATGATATCATGTCATAAACGAACTCTATTTGAGATTTGTTATTTTGCTTTGGTGAATGGTTCAGGCAAGCCAGAAGGGTCAGATAGGAATCACACTGGTGTCACCATGGGTAATTCCCTACACCAATTCCACCGAGAACAGGAATGCACAAGCCAGATCTCTTGATTTCAGTTTGGGCTGGTTTTTCGAACCTTTGACGAGCGGATCTTATCCGCAATCGATGAGGACTCTCGTCGGCAAGAGGTTGCCCGAGTTCACGAAACAACAATCAAAGACAATCAGAGGTTCGTTCGATTTCATCGGGATGAACTATTACACGGCTTCTTACGCAGTCGATACGCCTTTGTTTGGCTTCGCACCCCGGAGCTACATGACCGATTCACTTGTGAACACAACAGGTACGTACACCTAACCGTCAAGTAGGGTTTTTCATAAATCGTTTGTTCGCAATAGTTCGAACTATTAAAAGAGGCCAGTGTATGATTCTTATATCACTTCTTTAAATTCACCTCAAACTTCAAACAAATTCATGGGATTAAAGTTAGCACATATCACGCTATTTGAACACGAGATATCCCTATCAAACTGGTTCCGAGCGTTCTTTCAACAACTAGAATTATCAAGACTAGTCATTTTTTTACACTATAAACAACGAGTAACATATTCAATTTTATTTTTGATGATGGTATATTCAATTAAAAGTTAGGTGATGAAAGTAACTCCTTTTCCTTTCTTTCTGGCAGACAACCGTAATGGAGTCTCAATTGGACCAAAAGTGAGTATAATTGAATTATATTTTGGTCGTCTCATCATTAGGTTGTGTGTAACGATTCGATTTTTTGTTAATGGCAGGGAGCTTCGAGTTGGCTGAATGTGTATCCCAAAGGAATATATGATATTTTGTCCTACATCAAGCGCAAGTACAACGATCCTGTTATTTACATCACAGAAAACGGTAAAGGGAATCTATATATGGAACTGAAACCCTCTCGTCGCTAATGAGTTGCCGGTTAATAGCGACGAAATTGTGGGTATTACATAAGAGCCGTTATGACATATATTCTTGATGCCAGGGATTGACGAGCTCAACAACGACAAGGTGCTGCCGGCGGCGGAATCTCTCCACGACAAAATGAGGATCCATTATCACCGCCGGCATCTGTATTACCTCCAAAAAGCGATCCGGTAACTTTCACATACAATTAGCAAGTAGTCTATTCTTCTACTTCCTTTTTCCGGTAGGCCAGATTATCATTCCGTACACCGCTAATTTTGGGAGTATATACAAATGTACAGTCTAATTTAATCATCCATATTTTTGTATTAAGCAAATCAAAGTCTAGAATTGTCTCTGGTTCATGCATTAATTTTTATTCATAAATTTCCTAGAAACATTTCATAATACTTAAAATAACAAGCCAATCACGGTGTAAATTCACATATTTTGTTGTTCATTATTATCCAAATGAGAATTAATAAGACTGAAAATTCACAACGTAAATCCAAATTCGAAAATATACTATAGATCACGCACCTTGGTTGGTGGAAGTATTTTTAGAATTTCACTTATCTAACACCGAATTCTTATAGGCCAAACACTAAACTCTAACAATACATACATTCTTCGACTGGTATTTTTCTAATATGAAAATCACATTTTAAAAAATGTACACATGATGGTGTTATATCAAATTCCATTCATCAACCCCTAACTCATCTTGGGCTTTTTTTTTTCCATTTGGCAGTGATGGAGTGAATGTGAAAGGCTATTTTGCTTGGTCGTTGTTGGACAATTACGAATGGACAAGTGGATACACTACTCGATTTGGACTATTTTACGTGGACTTCAAGAATGGGCTTACCCGCTATCCCAAACAATCCGCCAAGTGGTTCAAAGGCTTCCTATCCCAATAGTGTTCATATCATCATCCACCAAAACCCCTAGAATTCCACCCAAACCTAAGAACTATCCCTGTTTCTTACATCTTTGATTTTTTATCCTTGAATCAAAGTTGTTGCAGTCTCTAATGGCATTCAGAGACAATCTTCCTTTTTTCCTAACTAGTAAGCTTTAGAAGTAGGTTTAATTGGGTGTAATTGGAAGGGTGAAATTCACGATCGTATGCAATTGAATGCAATGTTTTTATCAATACATTGGTTGCTATTACAATTGCATCAACATAATACAATCTCAAATGCTTAGGATATGAAGTATTTGGAAACTCACTAGTGGTTAAAACATGGCTCGTTTTCACTTTTATTGCACGAATGTCTCACATGATAACATGCAATTGAGATGGAAAAAAAACAACTATTTACAAATACACCAAACCACACATACCAATAAAAAAAACTATTTACTAATATATTATCCTGCATTGCATGATGCGCAATAATTAAGTTCAACATAAAGCATGGAAGAAACTAGTCTTTTGGATACTATTCCACAATACATTATTCTTCTACATTGTGTGATGTGTCCTATAAATGAGGTGACAAAAGAAGAGAACAAAATACCCAAGTTTGATCGTGACGACTTCCATATCAAGAAGTTGTGTCCAACTTCTTTAATCGAGTCGTTTCATGTTACATTGAGCATTTTAAACTACGTTATTCTTCCCTATTCAATGATTTATGCTCCATACTATTCTACATTTTTCACTGTGCTGATAAATTGGTACACAAGATAATGAAGAAGAAAAAGAAGAAATCAGATGGATATGCTGTTGGGAACTCCCTGCCCTGTAACTCCAGGCTTAGAATGAGGCTTCAAAAGCTCATAAGGCAAAACCCCAGCTCCACTCCTATTCTTCAGCTCTTCATTAGCATTCCTCTCATCAATAATACCTTCCAACACCTTCAACCTCCCACTGAACTTCTCAAAAGCCGCCTTTATCAACGGCTCGTCGCTCCAGCTCCTCTCCATCTCATCTCCGATGTACTCCTCGTCGGGGGAATGATTCGACAGCACGTTGAGCACGGCCATCACTCTCGTGGCCTGCAGCTTCGAAGGGAATGTGGCTAGAAGCACGGCTTCTGGTTTTTTCAGGAAGAACTTCCACTCTTCTTCGGTTGGGTCCTCGTTCGGCATCTTGATTCTGGTTATGGTTGGCCTGTTGGGGAAGTAACCTGCGAATGCGTACTGTCCGAAGTTCACCGAGGCGTGGTGCCCTGAAGCCACCCAGATTATGATGGTGAGGATTTCTATGAGGTCGTTGGAGGTCTCGAGTTGTGGCCACCATGGTTCGTTCTTCTTGTCTGCGTGGCCCTTGGTTCGTATCTCTGTCCACCATGCTTGGAGCTCTGAGTCGGCCTCCACGAGGTCTGGCTCTGGGTAGTAGTGAGTGACGTAGTCGGTGACCCACTCTTTGATTGTGTCCCATAGAACGAGGCCATCGTTTGCAAAAGGGTAGTCCTCTATCGTGAGTTTCAGGCCGTGGGGTGCGTTCTTGTCTTCGACTGCCATTCCCCTGAAATCAAATGAAATGACCAAACAAGGTATGATGTTCATGAAGGTCTTTGTGGAATGTGAACATGGAAGGTTGGTAATAAAAGTAGCAAGTTACCTGCGTATGAGGTCTTTGGGTAACGCTTCATAGTCGAATCTCCAGAGCTGGTCGTATGCAGCTGAGCAGATCTCTAAGGAGTATTTCCCAGGTGAAAATGATGATTCAATGATACCGCCTGCATTGATGAGCGATTCTCGAGCGAGGGAGTTGATCTCCATTGTGTATCTGAAGTGAGGATGGAGTAATCTGTAAATGGGATGCATCACACTAAGCTGTCGATTCGTCGCTATTATGTATGGTTCAGTCGCACAATGTGTTCTTAACCTGCAGAAAGAATAAAAAACATGAGAATGCAATATGCTTGGAAGGTTCTTCACCTCCTTTATAAGAAATGAAATCTGTTCATACAACAAATGCAAGATCAGACATACCAATGGCTAACGAGTTGGTGAATGCCAGAGTCGTGAGCAAGCACATGTGCCTTGGCTAGCCTCCAGAGCCAACAATCTGTGGAATTCCAGCACGGTCTGTACACATGTTTCCACTCGGGCTTCCCGTCCATGGGAGGGCGACAGAGCTCGATGGCCAGCGGCCTTAATGTGCCTTCGGGAGTGAGAAAGAAGATGGTCCTCGACCCGTATAAAGTCGTGCCCTTGAGTTCCCTGACTTTGCTCACAAATGGCAACAGGATGTCGTGATAATCCAGGATGAACAGCTTCTTCCTTTCAATTGACTGTGGGGAAAAAAAGAGAAACAATCTTCACTTTCTGAACCTCAAACCTCAAATTCTGTTATTGGGTATGTTGTCTGTTTACCTCTTTAACTGTCATAATCCCTCCAATTTCTGATTCGATGAGTTCAGTGGTGATTGCTGATTCTGGTGGACCATAGATTTCGGGGTCAAGCTTGCTCTTCAATGGCCACTCCTGCACGACATTCAAGCAAAAACCGTCAAGCCAGAGTTCACTTCCAAGTCATAAATGGTGAAACGAAAGGCTCTTTCTGGTTATACATACCGTGACCAATTGCAAACAATATGGGTTGAGTCCAGCAAGCGTCTGCCTCGCAAACTCCTCATCCTTCATCCAGAAAAACTTATCCCCTGCAAAAAACCAAAGGGCCAGGTTCAGTCAGACAAATCGTCGAACACTTGAACTGCAAACTAACTAACAACTTTCTTTCCCCCGAGCCCTTACTTTCCAAAGCGCCGGGTGGCTCGAACCGCATGACGTTGCCGGTGCCGGCGAAGAGGCGAGGCAGGAGGGCGTTCCAGAACCCTTCTTTGGAGAGCTCGGGCACTTCGAACCCAACGCTGAAGAGGGAATCGATGGTCTTGAAGTGATGGAACCCAAGATCGGCGTCGACGAACACGTTCCCCAGCGACGGGATCAGCGTGTTGAACAAGGAGTAGAGGGTCTTGGCTGAGAACGTCAGTTGCTTCACCTCCGAGAACTCTTCGTCCCGCGGGACGTAGAAATCCCGCGTCTTCTTCTCCGCCGACGGGTCTGCAGCGTTTCATCTCACCCGCCAAAATCAATCCACCTTTTAAAATGTTGATCTATATTTATATTCTTATATGAGTTTCCTATTACGATCCCCGAACTATTTATTTTCCCATTCTGATCCCTGAAATACAGATTTTTTTCCTAATGTGGCTTATAGTTCGAAGTCCGTTAGTCTACATTAAATTGAGACTTATTCAAGCATAAATTCAGGTCCATGTGCATAAAAAGTCCTAATAATTACAAAATATATCTCCGTATATTTGAATTCGCTCCCTGACTAAACCCTCACATGAAACTCACTCTACAATTTCCAACAAAATCTACAAATCGGTCTATCCTTTTGTCAAAAATGAAAAAGAATTAAGATATCACGCGTGTAAATTAGTAATTACATGATTCTTTTTTACTAAATCATCACCTAGTTTCAGTTATTTATGATAGGATATCCAAATCTACATATATTGATTTGATCGATAAAATCGGTACACGTGGGCAATTGGGTCTCCGTTTAACAAAAGATTAACAACCTTTTACAACAACAACATGTTACGTATATATCTCCGCTTGTAACAGAACCACAACATAAAATATTTATATTTAAAGAACTATGATAGGGGAAAATATAGTACATGGATCATAAATCATAATAGAAAAACTTTCATAGATTAGTGGTCAAATATATTGTTAACTCTTCTTATGGCTTAGGCAATTAGCTCTTACCGGATTCACAACGGGGGCGACCAGTACGGCACCGTCTAGGAGCGGGGAACTCCTTGCCGCCGAGGGACGGCCGGGCGAGCGCCTGGTCGGCGTCAGGATCGCCGAGGTCGTTGTAGACGTCGTAGTCGTAGACCCGGTCGCCGTGCTGCCGCTCGCCGAGCCCATTTCCTCGCAAAGTGACCAGCTCTTCCGCCCGCAGGCCCACGAGCCCAGCTGGCGTGCTCTGGGGCAAGTACGACTGTAAATGACAAAAAGCGGGGCAGGCCCACCAATTCCAGCCCATTAGGTCCACAGTCATGGTTTAGTGGTCACGCGACCACTCCTACAAGTCAATCTGAAGCTTATTCGAATTGATGGACCGTCCGTCCCATGAAAACAAATAACGTTAAATGTTTAGGACCACAAAGTACGACGATGATGATGGCCAATACGTTGTTATGTGTTTCAAGGTACAGATTTTTATCAGAAGATCATGAGGTGGAGAACAAACGTAAGCGAGGTCGGGAATATCACAAAAGATTTGAGGCCTTTCGTGACGCAGAGCTCTATTCACATGTAACTACACCTCACATGACACATCCCGTTTATGGATGATAAAGTTTATTCTGTGAACAATCATTTGCCACGCACTTTGTATGTTTATGTAAACGTCGAGAAGTTAAGTTAGTGATTGTTGTCGATGATTGTAGGTAGGGCCGGATACCCTGATTACAAACTAGCTCGACCATCGCGTGATTATACGAAATTGTGCGAGCATGAATCCTGGCAAACTCTGAAGAGATCGAAGGTCTCTCCTTGTTATGGTACATAAATAAGTACTTAGTAGTGACACTCTATCACGACAAATTGTAACTTAATCGTGCCACGAAGCTATATTGATTTTTATATATGGTGATGATCATGATATTCATTTAATCAAAAGACTAATTAACTACTAACCTTGCTGGTGAAGAAGACCCTCTTCCTCTTATCAGTGAACTTGGAGTGGATCCAAGAGTCGCAAGCAAAACTAACGGGACCACTTGGGAAACCCTCCAAAACTATGTTCCTCAGGAACATCTCCTTGTGGTGCTCGTTCTCCACGACGATGGCTCCCACCGCCCCGAACCCCGCCGGCACCTCGAACTCCGCCTCGTAACTCACCTCGCCGTCGACGACCTTCCCGCCGCCGCCCTTGTGCGCGAAGGACTGGAGTGTCGGCTTCTCCAGCTCCGTCTCTTCACACATAAAAAAAACTCGAGTTATTGAGACCAGCTGGTTTATGACGCGGATAAGACCATCGAAGATCGAGATGACTTACTAGGGTCCAACTCGGAGCTGACGAGCTCCAAGAGGAGGGTTTTGCCGAGGAGGTCTTGGATGTCATCGATTCCACGCTCAATCCCGATGCCAGTGAACATGGCGGTCATGGTTTGCTTCACGGTCACCGCGGCCTTCACTTTTATGGGCTTCTCGTGTACGAGATAATCGGCTATGGCGCTGGCGTCCTCGAGCTTGTTCGACGTCGTAGATGTCCGCAACGGCGCCGTATCACTGGCAGCCCTACAACGACGACGTCGGGTTCTTGCGTGGTGAGTAGTAGTTTTGGGTCTGGGCTTGGAGATGGAAAGAAGGGAATGGTGAAAATGGCTGTTGCTCCCATGGAAGAAGGGCTTGTTGGGCAGGGAGAAAATTTGGTTGGGTAGGTTTTGCTTCAGCATGGTACTCTTGAATTCTTGATTCTTAACTTAGTTTTTGTTGTTGTTGTTGTTCGACTTTGACACTAAACGATTGAGTTTGTGTGGGCGTGGGGAGAAGAGAACTATACTCAGTTGTTGAAGTATATAAGATAAGTTGTCTGATAAGTATGGTTATATATAGATGTATGGAAAGGGTGGGAAGAAGAAATTAAAGCATGTTGAAATTGCTTCATAATGTCAATAAGGCACGAGTTAATTTCATGCTCGAGAAGTGGTGTGTGTGAGTATTCGAATTCTGATGACCAGCTATATATATTTTTATAGTTGTTGATCACAAGTCACAACGTTTCGAACACAGAGTGTGATAGATGTTCAATTCTTTGGGTTTGGCCTTGGCCATGAAAAGGGAATAGTAAGCATGGTTGCTTCATGAGAGAGTAAGATTGGTCGGAGAGTTATTCTGCTTCAGCATTGTCATGATGAAAGAAAGTGATTAAGATCTATATATAGATGTCTTTCAACAACTCGAATTATTGAGATTAATTAGTTTAGATATAACATCAAAACTGATTTGTTCTTGATGTCAGATATTAAATCATCACAGCTCTAATATTAATCATTGTCTTCATCGGATTCACTTGCATTGTTGCACATGCTTTTGTTGTGTTGTGCTTGAAACGTGTTACTTAGACTTCATATGTCATAGGATTTAACTCGACCAGCTAATAGAAATTTAGCCACGATCGGGATGTCGTCGCGAAACGATAGAAAATGGTCGCTAAACCATTAGATTTTAATAGTGACAATAAGAAAAAGTAAGTTAAATTGTTAATTTGGAGATATACATACATTTTGATTATTTCTCAATTGCATGTTTATATCTAGTCATATAACTTTTCTCTCGTTAAAATTTTAGACATCATATTTTATTTTAAAACCCACAATTTACAGTGACGGCCGAGAGGGCCATGTTGGTGTTAGTGGTTATTGCCCCAAATATGATTTTTTTTATACGAATGATATAAGTTTGTTTTTTTATTATAAATTTGAAAAGTAGAAAAGCTTATATGATTTTAATCTATATATTTTTTTTAATTATTTTATTCCACTCATTCGGATTCCTAATTCCGCCACTAACCAACTTAGATAGCGATATAGAAATACCTTTACTCACCGTGCAACCCCGTTTTCATCCTAAGATGCTTGATAGGGATGCGGGATCTTCTACCATATAATATCGTTTTCATCAAACAGATGTAATTTAGATGCCGATCAAGTCTAATCAATGGCTCAATATCTTCCAGACTTGAGCTATTTGAGCAAGTTTAGAAAATGCCAATCTTTTGTCATTTGAGCAAGTTTCCAAAACCATGGTAGGTTGGATATTTTCCAATTATTTTCACAAGGGCATTTGGTGGCTAAAAACTCGTCTTTCATTTTGTGCCACGACTTGTTGGTCACATATCATGTGGCCCTCCCTCGGTGACGCTCACTAGTGACTCGCCAGAAAATCTGAGTAATCAACAAATTAGTTACCACCAAAAAAACCCAATTCACCTAATTGGGTTGCTCGTAAAGTGACTCACAACGTGAAACGTTTTATGTGTTCGAGTAATTAGAATGACGAATTTCATCTCTTAAAAATATTGTGTTTGTTCGAATTTTATCGGTTCACGTTACATCAATCTCTGTAAGTAGTGGTGCAAGCAATTAGTGGGGGACTAACAGTTGGGTTCGTTGTAAAGTCTCGCACCGTGGGAAATTGTTTCGTGTGTTTACATATTTGAATGACACATATTGTCTCTTAAAAGTTAAAACAAAAGTATGTGTCCAAGTTATGCTGGTTTATTATCATAAATCAGCTATTGTGATTTTGTAAAGTCTCTTATGTTAACAATCTCACAATGTGATTTCATGTTCAAAATAATCTGAACGGCGAGCCTTATCTTATCAAGTAGAGTATTTGTCCAACTTGTATCGGTGTGGTATACATTTGTGATATTGTATTTCTAATTTAAGGAATTCAATAAATAACAAAACTGGAAACTCATCATATTTGGTCAGAGATGTTGATGCATGGATCGATCTTTATCCGTAATTTATGTCCGACTCCATTCAAATCATTGATTTGTGACCCAATCCGAATCGAAGTATCTATCTACGCATAACCATGCGTAACATCATCGAAACACTGATTAATGAAAGGAGTTTTTTTACCAATTTGTCAACCAAACCATGAATGTCCTATATGGGTGTTCTTTAACCAACATCTATATTGTTGCTGTTAAATTTTGGACACTTACCAATTGGACAAATTTCACACTCAATTATTGAACAAAGAAGACCAAAATAGAAATTCATAAGCATTTGTCAATTATCAATTCATACCTTATCTTTTAGACCCATATCGACCATTCACTTGCACATCATTATATATGTATAGTAATAGTACTGTGCCTTAAAATAGATAATCGTCACAAAAAAAAACGTTTTACTTTGAGACCTCGTACAATGAACGTTGAGACTTTCTCCCTTCATGTTATGAGAGATTAATTATATATTTGTTTGTTTCCATGGGGTTTGCCAAATAGTTGGGCAATATTAGGATTCTTGAACCCTATCACATATATTAGGGTAAATTCGCAATCGAATGGTCTTCAAGTTCTGTTATACTTAAAATCGATACGGGTTCAATGGGTGGAAAATGGAAATCATATACTTGCTCACCTAGAATTTTATGACAGTCCTCGATGAGTTAGTGTATAAAGAGTTTTCTTGGGAAGAAATTCAGAAAGCTTGGTTAAGAGGTCGTGTTCTAAACATATCATTCAGCTATAGATCGTTCTATATTTTTTGCATCAAGCTCCGGACGATCAATCCAAATGAAATCAAGTGACTCTATTAACCTATGATAATCTGACGGGATATTTCCTAATTTAATTCAAACGATTGTGCCTAGTATAGCAAGTTCCATAAATGTCGTAAATTGCAACCAAATCGTTTGATTTTGGCACATATGAACAAGTTTTCTCTTTCATATTGTTATAATTAAAGATTGAGAACTTTTTCAAAAGATCAAACCGCCGGAATTTTAAATACAGAACTAGGCACATAACGTAATCTCAAAATCGTGAGTGTGTATTATAGATATGTCTAGTGGGGGAAAATGGAGTGAAAATCAATGGTGGAGCTAGGCTGAAACTAGGAGGGAATGTAGTCCTCCTCAACTTTAAAATATATGTAAATTACATGTAAATTTTGTACAAATTTTAAAAATTAAAATAGTCGGTAGAGCTTTACCTCTTCTCTCCAAATTACCGCAATTCAAGTTAGCCCCGTTAAAATTTCTGGTTCTGCCATTGATGACATTTATAGAATTATGAGAGGAGAATCTTTGAAGAAGGCTCTCCAAATACTTGGGTTTGAGAGACTAGATCCAAATTTTTATGTGGGTCTTAGGAATATAGCTAGGTTTTGTCCTAATTAACCCAACACTTACAAAAGCATTTATTAGTTTATGGTTTGGCTACATAATAAGACGAGTAGGCAGTACTGATTCACAGCTAATGATGTCACCACCACTATTGTCGTTGGGTAACCCCTACAAAATCTGATGTTGCAACTTGCAATCCTCCATTCCAGCGGTTGATTTGAGTTGCTTCTCGTAAATATTTTTGCGAGTATCATAGTCGAATTACCAAACCAAACCAATTATCCAAATACTATCGATTAAAATGATTACCACGATAATCACTTAATTTGAACAACCTAGCAGACCCAATTGTCATGACTGACTACTAGGCATTTACAGTGGTAGTTAAAACTAAAAAAACTGGGTGGGAATCTTGATGAACTGAACTACATTAATTTAGTTACATCGGACAAACTGTTTACATTGCAGCAATTAAAAACGAATTGAGATCAACAAAATTACAAGACATGTGAAATTGCAATCGGCCTCTAACCCTTATTACATATACACAGTGGCAATCTGGAAGCTATATGCAGAATCTGGGAGTTAATGGAGGTGATATCAGATGGAGGTACTGTAGGGGACACCTTTACCAGTAACACCAGGCTCAGAAAATGGTTTCAGCAGCTCATACGGCAAAACCCCAGCACCATTCCTGTTCCTCAACTTCTCATTCGCATTCCTCCCATCAATCACCACTTCCAGCGCCTTCATCCTGCCGTTGAACCTCTCGAAAGCCGCCCTGATCACCGCATCGTCGCCCCAAGCCGGCTCCATTACCTGCCCGATGTACTCCTCGTCGACCGAATGGTTCGACAGGACGTCCAGGATGGCCATCACCACCACGGCCTGGAACTGGGACGGGAACATCTCGAGGAGCGCCTTCTCGGGCGTGTCGATGAACTGCTTCCACGCCTCGTCGGTGGGATCCTCCGTCGGCATGTTGGTTCTGGCGATGGAAGGCCTGTTGGGGAAGTAGCCACCGTAGGCGTACTGGCCGAAGTTGACTGCTGCGTGTTGTGCTGATGCAGTCCACGCTATGGTGGTGACGATCTCGATGAGGTCGGATGGTGTGGCGAGAGATGGCCACCATGGCTCGTCTTTCTTGTCACCATGGCCGACTGTGCGGATTTCTGTCCACCAGGATTGGAGCTCGGCGTCGGAGGTGATGAGGGATGGGTCAGGGTAGTAGTGGCTGACGTAGTCGGCGACCCATTGGTGTAAGCCGTCCCAGAGGATCAGGCCGTCGCTGGCGTATGGGTAGTCCTCGATTGTTAGCTTCAGGCCGTGTGGCGCTGATGGGTCTTCCACGGCCATTCCCCTGAAATTTGAGCAAGACAAAATGATAGATGGTGAGTAATAGAAAGTAGAAACCACAAGTTAGACAAGAGAGGAACTGTAGGGATGGCAATTTCGACCTGATTCATTCGTACTAACATATTTCTCTTAACCAAAGTAACCAATTAGTGCGATATAGATATTGAAGTACTCGTCACACCATGTCCCATTGTTAAGCCAAGGGAAAGGAAAAGGTTACTTACCGTCTGATTAAGTCCTTGGGAAGAGCCTCATAGTCAAACCGCCACCTCTGGTCGTAAACTGCAGAGCCAAGCTGCATGGAGTATTTGAGAGGAGAGAAGGCCAA